AGCTAATCATGAGTTCAGAGATGATTTCAACCTTCATATTCATCTTGTTCATTTTAAGGCTAAAGAATTTTTCTTCCATTCGTAGGGGACTTGGTAAAACTTACTTCAGAGCTTTCTTTTCCAAGAGCTGCATCTTAATCCTGACGAAGAACGAATGGGAGCAGGGGAAGCTGAGACGGCGAGGGCACTGGCACTTGCAATCAGCTCTCCCCTCCAAGTCCTACCCCAATGCCTAAGGTAGCTTCTACTGTTGTTTCAAGTTGAGGTTTATAAACCTCTTCTTCACTCTTCACCTCATGCACACAGGTTTCCAGCGGTCTGTCTCTCTCAGCACTCTGGCAACCTGTCCTTCCTAACTAGCCGTGTGACTATTTGCTTACCTGCCCCGCCCCACCTGGACTGGAACCCCATGAAGTGATGACAATGGATGGATGTCTTGCATCTACTTGGGCCAGCACTGCTGCATTTGCAAGAAGTTGGAGTCAGAAGCTGGGTAGGAAACGCAGGCATCCAATGTGGAATGCGGGAGTCCTAATGTTAAGTTAAACACCCATTTTCCAGCTCTTCCAATATTGCAATGTCTTTCATCTTCCACATTTCATCTCCTTAACAATATCACGTGTCTTTAGAGTGCAGCCCCACATGGTCATGAAAGAGATTTTACATCAACCTCAAAAGGCCCAAGAAGTATTTCTAAGTTATAATTTTTAAAAAATAAGAATTGGTAACTTGCAAGCCATTTCATCCCTGCCATTCTTTCTTGTCTTACCCTCTGCTGTTTCCTGTGATTATGTGCTTGTCCTTAGAGCCAGTGAGTCTGTGGCCTGCTCGGTCTTGCGAACAATCCCCCTGTGGTACCAGTAGGCTTACCCAAACCAGCCCAAACTGTCTCCATGATCTCAACAACATTTCTCATCTTCAAAGCTCCTTTCTTCTTCCTTAGATGGAAAAAGAATGGAGTCTTGCCACTTCCTCCCTGGGTCCCACGAGAAAGAATGCATGTTCCCCAGAGAAGAATGGGCGCCACGCAGCAAGTGTGACACAGAGAGGCCGACTGCTGAGAAATGTTATCTAGAAAGGTGTGGCTCCCAAGGACGTTCTGCAGAAGGCAGGAGGGAAAGAGACGGGCATTTTCTCATCAGGTCAGAAGCTCCTGGAGTGCCAGGGCTGCCTCATCCAGCATAATCTGTGGCAGCTGGTGGCAGGTAGGCCATGGGGTCACTGCACGAAACCCTGCTGGCTTCTTGAGAAATGCTAACATCTGAGGCTTCTGGGGTCCTGACCAAATATCACTGTTTATTTTTTTTTAAATTGTATTTATGTATTACATCTACTTGAAAGGCAGATAGATAAACAAATGGACACCCAGAAAAGTAGTTACACAGGTGGACAGGTGGCTGAATCAATTTGCTATCCATTGGTTCATCCCCCAACCCCACCTCAAACACCTGCAACAGCCAGGGGTTTGCCAGGCTAAACCCAGGAGCTCAGAGCTCAGTCAAAGTCTCTCACACAGGCACCAAGAACTCAATCACTCAAATGCTCGTCTTCCGTCTCCCAGGGTGAGAGCCAGGACTTAATCTCTGACACTCTGATGTGCGATGTAGCCACCCTAAACTTTACCGGAACCACTGGGCAAGATGCCTGTCCTTTCTTATTTGTGCTCTCTGAAAGTCACCTTCTCTTTTGGGCTTGCTTCTCCTGCCTCCCCTCCCCCGGAGGTCAGCCCCTTCCCAGGTGATAACACTCCCTGCCAGGTCACCTCATGGAGTCCAATGTGGCTTGATCATGGGAAAGTTTCCTCGCATGTCCCCATGATCTGTTGAACGTCACTGCTGAATGAGAGCTCATGGATGACTCAGGAGCGTCAGTGATGTAGTCTCCCCACCCACCGGATATTCTAAGTTCAAAGGTGCAGCCTTTACCAGCCAACCAAGTAATTCTCTGAGCAAAGATAATTCCAGAAACTAGTTAGATGTAACATATGATTCTTCCTGCATAATGGATTCTAAACATTCACACACAGGGAAATGGGCTAAGTCAAGTGTGAAGTGTAACATATGAACTGATTTTCCATTAACAGACTCCAGCGTGGCTGCATGGAAAGCAGATTTATGCTGCAGAAGAACGCATCCTTCCTAGAAGGCAGAGGCAAGTGTGTGCTCCGGCAAGAAAGGGCTTTACGCTCCACACCTCCAGCCAAAACAAAGGCCAAGCCACAGACTTCACGGGGAAAGGATACCAGAGGTATTCTCTGCAAATAAGTAGCTTTCTGCTTTTCTTCCTTAGCAAAATTTCACCAAGCTCCCTATCCATCATTCTAGGCACTCAATGTTACACAAATGCATTAATGCATTCCACTCTCACAGGAAGTCACCAGAAAACATGAGGGTCATTTCCTTCCCTTCAGCGCAGAGACTAATTAGGGCTCTGGGATCAAGCTCTGTATTGAAATCCAGCCACTGACTAGTTGTGTGGCCTTGTGCAAGGTTGTCTTTCTTTACCTAAGTCTTCCCATGTTTAAAAATGGAGACAATGTACAATCCAAGCGCTTATCAACAGATGACTACACTGTGGTATGTCCATACAATGGAGTCCTGCGAAGCAATACAAAGGAACAGACTGACACACACAACTTGGGTGAATCTCAAAAGTATCACATTGAGTGAAGAAAGCCAAGGCTTAAAGTTTTCATACATAGGTGTCCTACGATTCTAGAAAATACAAACTATTCCACAGTCTCTCACTCACTCACTCACTCACACACCCCACATCAGGAATTGCCCAGGGCCAAGGCAGGGGAGGGATGGAGCTGGAAGAGGCAGGAGGAATTTTAGGGGGTAATGGGCATGTTCTGTGCATTGACTGGGCTGGCAGTTTCACAGGGTACAGCCACTATCATAACTCTGACGGCATGCTTTAACTAAGTACAGCTGACTGTATTTGAATCTGACCTCAGTAAAGCTGACAACATCAAGTTTTGCCATAGCATTGCTGGGAGAGTTAAACGAACACTAGACCTGGGAGCTGGCACGTGGCAAGCGTTTGGTAATCCATCATGAAGATGGTGAGCAGGACAGCGAGTATTCTCTTGGGAGTTGGGAGCCTGGAGTTTCTCTTGGAGCCTTGCTGTGCTGTGTAATAATCTCTAAGTTTCAAATTTGTAACACATTCAGTGACAGATGTGGACAGCATGGCCTGCGGAGTTACCCAGAGCTGCCACAATCTGACTGAGGTGGCACCGCCAGGACGGCGGCCGGTATGGCCTTCTAGAAATCAGCATTTATAGTCTATTTATAGTCTATATCTATAGTCTTCTGAAGGCTCTGCTGCAACGTGTAAAGCTATCCTGCAACACATAACATTCTCCACAAGGCAAAACAGTGGGCAACATAGGATGATGTGGGATTTCAGATGTCCACTGAGAGAAGTGAGGGAAAGATACGGGGCAGGGCCGGGCAGAGCCGGCGCAGGACACCAGTGAGTAAACCATCTGGACATCATGGACTCAACTGTTCTCTGTGTTTCCACTTTCCTGCCAAAAATCTCCAAGATCTTTTTTTTTTTTTTCCTTTTAATTGTATGTTTTCTAAGTTACAAAGCGAGTCTGCTGGTGCTTTGAACAATTACTAGGGTACCTGGGAGTTGAAGGAAAAGACCCGCTCCCCACTCACCACTAAGCCCTGCTCCATCTTGGCCAGCTCCTCACACTACACATCCCCTGCCTTCAGCACCTCTCCACCATGCCTTGGCTATTCCCACTTGCAGAGAGATGATGGTAAGAAAGACTGGAACACACAACAGGAGCACTGAGTCTCCGGGGCCTAGGGAGTCGGGTGACATGGAGAGCTACAACGACCAAACTTCTCTGCATGTCATAAAAACTACAAATTTAGAGACTCGAAAAGTTCAAGCCGGATAAACACAAAGTGACCCACACCAAAGTGCACCGTAACCAAAGGGCTGAAGGTGACGGAGAAAGCCAAAGAAACGTTCCAGGCAGCTGGAGTGGGCAGAGGCAGCATTACACTCAGGAGAGCCAGGAATGACCGCCGGCTTCTCATCAGAAACAACGCAGCCCGGAAGACAACGAGCTATTGAAGATGCCCTAAGAAACAAACATGTGTCCTCCTGGAAAGTCCTCACTGGGTGAAAAACATGGGCGTTTTTAGACAGACAGGGCTGAGGGAATTTGCTGCTGCAGAACTTACTCTACCCAAACAGACAGATAACGGGTAAAAACAAAACGACGCCGAATAGAGCTGAGGATCTACAGAATGCAGTGGGGAGTACGGATACCTGCGAGCACAGGAGCTCAGCTTCTGTCCAAGCACAGCTTTCCTGCTGCCAAATGGAAATAATTATCTACATGGCTGAGTCTCCCTGTCCCCAAACGCCTAGGACCAGAAGTATTTGAGTATATTGAAGACATACACGTATACTGAATATATATATGATATATATTGTATATGTGTATATATATATATATATATGTATAAAACCATCATCTAAAATGCACTCGAAGTCTAACACACTTTATGCAGATGGTCATGTTACACTCTACTGTTAATGTGCGACTTGTCACATACAGTCGGGTCTTGTGGCCTTGTGTCAGCATTCAGAAGGTCTTGGATTCTAGAGTCCCTTGGTTTTGGAGTCCAGGGATACTGAGCCTGCAGCACTTCCTCCTAGGACTGTGGTGGAGGTAGCTTTCCTGTGTACATTCTGCTCAGACAGTGCCTGGTGCATACTATGCACCTGGCACATCCGCCATGGTGACCACGGTGCAGAAAGCACATCTGAGTTAGGGAGGCAGCAGGCCACGACACAGGACAAAGGAGGGGTGATGTACTCCACGCAGGGGCGGTGGCCCTCAGTGAGGTGTGGAGATGAGAACCAGCAGGTGTGGGCGATGGGGCCTCCGCCACAGCCCAAGCAGTGTCGGAGGGTGTGCCGGGGCTCCCCAAAGCTCTACTGACTCCCTCCCAGGGCACCCGTACCTCCTCTGTCATCGGATCCATCTGGGCTCTGTTGTTTGAGATGCTGATTGTCCCTAGAAAAGAACAGGAGAGCAGCAGATGAATTTCAAACACAGAAAGCAACAACCCCGGTTTGTGCTATGTCCCCTCTAAAGAAGGCCCTGGGTCTGCCTTCCTCCAGCTTCTCGGTCAGCCCTAACAAGGCCCCTGGGTCTGCCACGTCCAGCTGCACAGGCTGAGTGAAGCTGGCCCGGAGGGCGGGGATGCTGAACACTGGGACACAGTGAGTGCTCCTCCCAACCACCGCAGGGCGGACAGAAGGTGGCCCTGCCTCCACAGCCAACTTTATCTAGAAACCTGCTTCTTGTTTGGGGCTATGACGTGTAAGACACGGCTGGGCTAGGAAGGCTGGCATTGCTTCTGCCCACCAAATGCTACCAGGACACACAACTCTAAGAACGAGCTGGCAGGAGCTCCAACGTGGGCATCACCGGCAGGATCCAGAGCTGCCCGTGAAGGTCTCCTCACTGCAGGTGTGAATGAGGGAAACCTCTCCCACGAGCTCGTGCCTGCGGTAGGAGGACGCAAAAGGAGCGCCAAGTGGGCAGCAAGCTTAAGGAGAACTGGCAAAGGGTGGGTTTCTGTACAACAATGTGCGTGCGAAATCACCCGTGGGGTTCTGTATGGCAGTGAATCCCCCACAGGCAGGAGTACAACTCAAGGGGGCTTTCTGAGCTAAAGCCCCCCTTCTCAGATTCACTCCACCTGCCCAGTTCCCACCAGAAACACAGAGTGCAGGTCAAGGTTACAAAATCTCGTTCAGTGTGTGTGTGTGTGTGTGTGTGTGTGTGTGTTTAAAGATTTATTTGTTTTTAGTGGAAAGTCAGATACACAGAGAAGAAGAGACAGAGAGAAAAGATCTTCAGTCCGCTGATTCACTCCCCAAATGGCCACAATTGCCAGAGCTAAGCTGATCTGAAACCAGAAGCCAGGAGCTGTTTCCAGGTCTCCCACGCGGGAGTAGAGTCCCGGGATTAGAACCGGTGCCCATATGAGATCTCAGCGTTTGCACGGTGAGGACTTTAGCCACTAGACTGTCGCACCGGGCCCGTTCACTGTGTTTTAAATCACCAGTTACAACTCACTGGTGAATCATGAAGTCAACTCAGCACCTTGTCACCAGCCTTTTTCTTTCTTCTCACCACCCCCACCCCCCTTTTTTTAATAGCATAGAAAAGACAGTATGCCCTAAAGGGTGAGGTTGGGTATGATGCATGCCCTTGGCATGAGATCTAAGTGTACACTGAGCCTGCCACCATGTGGAGGGTAGCTCTAAGCAATCACAGACAGACTGACGCCAAACAAACCAAGAGCAGTCTAAAGCTGGCACTCCGACACCCAGGGGCCACCTTCTTTCCCACTGCCAGGAAGCAACCGTCAGTGAGGGCCGTGTGCTGTGGCCCCAGACCCCCGGCAGGAGGTGCACAGAGATGCCACCAGCATAGCCCAGCGCTCGCCCTCTGCAGCTGTCTCGCAGGCCTCTGCAGCAGGAGTAGTGGTTCTCAGAGGGTTGGGCGCCCGACAAGACCCACAGTCCTTTCAGGCAAATGTCCTTCCGCACACAGGTAACCACTGGGAACGAGCTGAGACAGGCTTCAATAGCACCGTTTAATAAAAAAAAAAAAAATTATCTATTTATTTGAAAGGCAAAGACAGATACACAGAGAGAAATAGGAGATACTGATCTTCCATTTACTGATTCCCTCCCAAATGCTCACACGAGCCAGGAATTCCATCTGAGTCTCCCACGTGCAGGCGGGATCCACGTACCTGAGCCATCCCCAGGTGGGCACGGCTACCTCCCCGCATGGGCACGGCTACCTCCCAGGGTGGGCACTGCCATGTTTGGTTTTGCCCACAGGGTATAGTTATTGAAGAGGTTGAACCTACAATCTGGGGACTGGCGTGGGGACACAGTGGGTGAGGCCACTGCCTGTTTCACAGTACTGGTTTGTATCCCGCCTGCTCCGCCTCCCATCCAGCTCCCAGCTCACGCACCTGGGAAAGCAGTGGAAGAAAACCCAAGGGTTTGGGATCGTCCACCCGCAAGGGAGACAAGATGGAGTTCCAGGCTCTTGAGTTCGGCCTGACCCAGTCCCAGCCATTGTGGCCATTTGAAAAGTGAATCAGTAGATGAAAGACATTTTTGCCTTTTCAAATAAGTTTTTAAAAAAGTAAAAAAAAAAAAAAAAAAAAAAAAACCTATCATCTCAGTCTCCCACCTTGCACTCTGGATTTCCAGCACTTTGTCCTATGCCTTTTCAAGAACCGATTTTTCTCACGTCCCAGGGACACCTGAATATTTGCCCATATTCAGTGGGTGGCTATCCCTTCTTCTTCAAGAAGGCAGTGGGAGTTTGCCTCGCAGTAGGTTCTCCGTTTAAACAGGCAGTTCTGAGGCACTGTGCTGGACAATCACGCCTGGGAAACTTCTTCAGTGTCTGTGCGCCAGGTCCTGAGTCCCCAGGCGTTCAGAGGTAGAAACTTCTAGAAATGGGGCCTAGTCTTGATAACAGTAACACTGAGACCTACCTGCTTCTCACTCCTTTTGAAAGATTGATCTATTTGAGAGCAGGAGAGACAAAGAGATCTTCCATCGACTGGTTCACTCCCCAGATGGCTACGACAGCAGGGCTGGGCCAGGCTGAATCCATCTCCCACACGGATGGCAGGGGCCCGAGGCTCTGAGGCAGCCTCTGCTGCCTTCCCAGGCATGTTAGCAGGAAGCTGGATTAGAAGCAGAGCAGCCGGGACTTGAATCAGTACTTGACACGGGCTGCTGACACTGCAGGCGGAAGCTGAACCTGCTGGACACGACGCTGGCCAACCTCTTCCTTCTGAGCTCTCTGCCTGCTTCCACCAGGAGTGTTAATAAACGCAGCCTTGACCCAAGGGCTGTGTGAGCGAGAAATAGCAAGAGGCTGAATGCTACAGGAAGAGCAGTGTCCGTGGCTGAGTGACCCTAGGTTGGCTTTCCTGGGAGTCACACAAGAGTCTGAGGTGTTCGTGAAAACTAAGCAGGTGATCTCCAACGATCGATTCAGACGCCTGCTCAGCAGTCAAGTGCAAGCCACGGGGACTCCGGACAGCTCACTAAGTGCCAGGCTCCTTTCTCAGGCCTGTTCCAGGATGCATGAAGGCTCTGGCGGGACTGCAGCAGGGAGTTTTACCTTGGGCTGTGGGAGGTAAGCTTCCCCTTCCGCCTACACCTCGTGGAGCAGGTCATGGGCCAAGGACACACAGGCTTTCCCTCTTCCCAGTGACACATCCAACCCATCAGTGCCAAAAAGGCTCAGTCATGAAGCTACTATGTGCTTTCAATACCAGCCTCTCGGGCAGGGGACGCCAAGGTTGAGGCATGTCTTAATAATAAAACCCATCTGCTTCCCACTCTTTTAGGGGTTGGCATTGTAGTCTAGCATGTTAAGCCTTTACCTGTGATGCAGGTTCGAGACGCAGCTGCTCTACTGCCTATCTAACTTCCTGCTAATGTGCCCGGGAAAGCAGAAGACAGTCAAAGTGCTTGGACCTCTGCGCCCACACAGGAGACCTGGAAGAAGCTCCTGGCTCCTGGCTCTGGTCTGGCTCAGCTCTAGCCATTGCGGCCATTTGAGGACTGAACCAGCAGATGGAGGACTTCCCTTAATCTCTCCTTCCCCCTTCCTCTGTGTTTCTAGTTTTTCTAGTAAATAACAGGTCATCATTTAAGGCCCATCCCACCCGTTTCTCTGTAACCTACAGCTGTGTGTTTCCTCCTCGGCTGGCGACAGGCACCCGCAGTTCTCAGGAGAAGGCCCTCGTGTGCCTGTCCTTCATGCTGGCCACACTACCCACTGCAGGGTGACAGCTCCTGCTGAGTGCCAGGCGCTGTTGCTATACCATTTCCTGCCATTACACAAGGGGTTTTCATAGAAAGTTCATGAAAGATGTATATTATGAAACAACGGCATGGATTCCAAAACGTTTGAGCCAAAAATGAACTCAACTTTTAACTCTATTTTTTTTTCCTTTTATTTTTGATGTTTCCATAGTTGATTAGGGGGGGAAGGGTCAAGGATTAGGGGAAAGTGAGTGAGATCATTGTCTCCAAATTTTCTTTTTCCTCTTTCTGTATCTGGTGGAATGGGGGAGGTGAGAGGAGAAGCCGCACCCTGCCTCCCACCCGCCTCAGTACCCGGGGATGGGGAACGGCCACCTGATGTCACGCCAGGGTCCCTGATGTGCAGCATGCTCCGAGGGTTCTGCTCTAGCGGTGTCAGGAGTTCTGAAATGCTGTCGATCTCATCAATCCGAGGATCAGGAAAACTTTCCAAGGTCCAATTGGTGTGACTGCGGGCATTGCAGGCTGGCCCAGCCCAACCTGTTCCCAATCCCAGTACTCATGAGTATTGCGGGAGGCGGGAAGGGGTTCCATGGCCATGCCTAGCTCAGCCTCTCACTACCCTCAGCTCTTGAACAAAGCAGCAGAAATTGCATTTCCGTAGGGGAGAGCCCACATATCCCCCACAAAATCTGCCCCTAGACCTAGTTCCTCACATGATTAGTGTCATGGCCTAGCCTAGCATCACCTGTCCCCTGTTCCAACTCTCTTTGGTGGGTCCTGTGATCTAGCCCTGCCAGGGAAGCCCCCAGCCCTAGTTTTAGTGTGCCCTGGTGAGTGGTGGTCAGCATTGCTAACTGCTCTGTCTCAGCCCCCTCACTTATACGTAAGCAGATGGAAGCCCCTCAAACGTCATCCCTCACCTGCCACTTACTCTTCAATGGTCCTCCCCCCACCCATCTCCTTACCCCTTTTCCTGATCAATCCACATTCCTTGTACTCGGCAGCACATGGGTTCCCCAGCACAGTCTTCTGGTAGGGTGGGGTGCTAGTCTGGAGTTCTGCCTGCCTGGCACATATGCTGACCTGGGACCTGAGCCCTCCACACACCCAAAATCCAGGCCTATTCAAAGGTCCCCAAGCCCAGTCCACCAGCACAGCAGGCCAGTATACTAACCTTGGGCTCTCTTCTCC